GTCTACAGCCCCCAGGGCAGTGCCCCGCTAGCCCAAAGCCTGGCTGAGCTGCTGCGGAGCCGGGCGAAGGAGGTGGTGCCGCCCCGCTACAAGGTGGTCTGCCACGTGCTGCTGGGCCAGCGGGGCCAGCAGAGCCTGCTGGTGGCCAGCCGGGCACTCTGGGACCCCGAGAGTGACAGCTTTGCCTCCGCCACCTTCTCCAACGCCTCTCTCTTCGCTGTGGCCACAGTGCATGGGGTCTACTTTGAGTAGTACCTGCCTCTCCCTCCACCCAGCCTTGTAGGGCTGCAGGGGGACAGCAGCTGAAATAAAGATGCTTGCTCCAGCTGTGGCTCATACCTGTTGGCTTTGGCCATGCTGCATGCAGGGAGCAAGGCATGGAGGCACCTCAGTGCCTTGATGCTTGCTACAGCCCCCAGCCTGAGCTCACACCCACACTGTGGCTTCCATTACCATGATTTGCAAAAAGACCCAAGCTGCAGCAAATACAACCCAAGAGGCTGCATTACCCTGGAGCAGGCAGCTGCCCAAGGCCACGCTACAGGGAGCAGCACAGCCTGCTTCCCACAGTGCAAGCTGCTCCCAGGCAGATTGATTACACCAACACTGGGGAAGGAGTGCTGGTATAACCTTCAAAGCAAGCTCATGGAGCAAATTAAGTCCCTCCTCTTTCCTGGCCCCATTCCCAGCTCATATCCCATCACACCAGGTGTCATAGTGCAAGGACCCAGGCAACCCACCCACCCCCTGGGCCACAGCTCCTGCCTTCTGCAGCTCAGCAGAAGCATGAGAGCAGCTGGGTTTGGTCCAAGTGCACAGACAGTTGGGGATGAGAGTTTGGCAGCAGCAAGGAAAAGCTGAGGCAGCTCCACAGGCATCAGCAAGAGCTAAGTCTGCCTTTCCTTCCAGCCCCAGGAAGGGCAGCAGAGGTACCACATGGGCTCCTCACCCCCATCCTGCCTCCCTGACCTTGTCCCCCAGCAACAGCCAGCATCAGGAAGGGTCTTGCCTGGCAGGCAGAAGCAGCCCTGGAGCAAGGATGAAGATGAAGCCCTTTTGTGACCAAGGCCCCAGGTCCAAGCAAGGCAGACACAGTTTGCCCTTGTACAAATAAATTTTTATTGAGGTGAGTCAGGGACAGGGCAGCTGCACATGGACAGACCAACAGGAAAATAAATAATTCCATATAAATAAGATACATAAATAGTCCCACATGGCAGAGACTGCCTTGAAACAAGAAACATCCCAGGGTCCCAGTGAGAAGAGGGCTTCTCCAGGCAAGACCTTGGATCCCATCCCCCCACCCTTTATCAAACCTCAAGTTGTACCAGACAATTCACAATTTGGGAGTGGACAGAGCATGGTTGGGCCCAGCACAGCCTCCTCCTTAGTGTAGCGGTAGTGGAGTGGCACACACCAGCCCACGCAGCCCCTGGCAGGGCAGGCAGTGCCCTTCACCCCTGTCCACCCCAGGAAGGGGTTTTTCCCTACCCCACAGCAGCCAAGCCTTGAGGTCAAGGCTGTGCCAGTCCTCTCCAGGCCATGGAGAGGGTCTGTGCAACTGGTGCATCACTTTGGGCAGGACAGCCCGAGCCCCCACTGCAGGCAGCTGCCAGCCAGGGCAGGCTGGAGCACCAAGCCACAAACAAGGCACAGCCAGACCCAAACCCGGCTGTAGGGCACTCACCCACCACCTCCCCATGCCACCCCACCAAGACCAACACAACCAGAGCAGGAGCTGCCAGCGGAAAGACAGCGATTGCCCAGAGCCAGGGAGCAGCAAGGATGTCCAGATCTGCTGCTGTAACCACATCCACATGTCTTAGTCCAGTCTAGCTGAGCACCAGGATACAGGGTGCCCAGGTGGGCAGCCAGCACCACAACATACCTCCCATCCTGTGGGAGGGCAGGGGGAGACCTCTATGTCCAGAGAGGGTCCCCCCAAGGTCCCACACTAGGCCTCAGCCCGTTCTTGGAGGAGCTTGAGGATGTATCTGAGGCGGTGGTAGAGCTCAGGAGAGCAGCCAAGCTCCTGGATGCTGCACAGCTTGTAGGTGTAGGAGTTGCGCTCCCGATTGATGTAGGTGACAAGGCAGGAGTGGTCAGGCTTGCTAATGATCACCTTGGTGTGGTCATTGTAGAAGTTCACCTAGGAGACAGGTTTGGCTTGGTTTAACCCACGCTTCCCGCGGCATGTCGGGAGCTGGGATGGAGCCACACTTCCTGCCTCAACCTGTTCCTCCTCCCCAACCTGCCCGGGAGCATCCCTGCTCCATGCCCCATGGCAGGAACGCACCAGCCCCAGCACCAGGGCAGACAGAAGCAGCCGACTGAAACGTCATGTCCCTCATGGGCTGGACAAGCTGTGACCAGCAGCTCCAGGCACTGGAGCAACATCCTGCACCCACAGCTGTTTTCACAGCTGCACCTTGCATTTGGGCTGTGGCAGACAAGGTCAAGAACAAGCCAGGAGTCCCCAGCTGGCCTAGTCCCCACAGTGCATCTCCACTGTGCCCCACACATACCTGGAGGGTGCCACTGCTGAAGAGCATGAGCAAGGCTTGGTCAGTCTTCACCCACTGCAGGAGAAGCAGGGCCGGCTGCCCAAAGTCATCTATGCTGGGCAAGTCACCTCCCTTGGAGAGAAGGGTCTGCATAAGCCACTGGTCCCACACATGGGAGCACTGCCACCAGCATACACACAGCCAAACCTGAACACACCCCCAGTGGGGTCCCCGCTCCCAGGACACAACTGTCTGGGTGTCCACCTGGCCACAGCCTGTGAGCAGAGAGTCCCACAACCCCAAGCAGGTTGGGTCAAGCCATGACCCATCATCCAGCCTACCCATCATCCCAGCCCAGGGCCCCAGCACCCACCTTCACGAGATGCTGCTCCATGTAGGATGCAAAGTAGCGCAAGACACTCATCTGTCCCTGCAGCTGCTCAGGGATGGTGGCCACAGAGAACACAAGGTGTTTGCTGTTGGTCGGGTTGTAATGCACAGTCCTGGGAGAGAGCAGACCATGAGCTTTGGGGCCACCCAGAACTAAACCCACCCTGGCACAGCCTCCCCTTGCCCCTTCCCACCTGAAGGGCTTTCCCCAGAGACACCAGCCCATTCCCCACTGCTTACCTGTGGTTGGGGGAAAGCGTCATGTGCGTGCCGTTGTTGAAGAGGACCCCGATGCTGCGGTTGGAGAGCTGGTAGCCAAAGCCGTACTTGTTGGAGTAATCCACCCACTTGCTCACCCAGACAAAGTGCTCATGGCGGGCCAGGGAAGCCGGATTTTTCTCCGCTGGTGGAGAGGAGAGGGGGTGAGCAGAGCAAGCAGCCAGCCCCTGCCCACCTCATCTCCCCAGGGGGGAGCAGGTGCCCCCCAACCCAGCAGGCTCTTGGCAGCATTTAAGGCATCCCAAATAGCAGCCGTGCCTTTGTCCCATGGGGAAGGGGATGCAGAGCACTCTGTCCATCCCAGAGCAGTCCAACCGGTTTACCTGGGGGCATGGAGGAGAGGCAGGTCCGCAGGAGCCGGACAGCTGACTCGATGATGGCAGAGGCAGTGATGCAGTCTTCAAAGGCTGTGGACAGAAGATGACAGGCTGAGTCAGCCGGTCCCGCTATCAGCCAGAGCAGGACAGGAAGCTCTGGGCAGGCTGGGGTGGCCTGGGCAGGTATTGCTCACCCTCACAGCTGCTGGCCATCGTCCCCCGGATGGAGGGGGACGCAGACTTGCGAGATGTCTCCTCCACCACTGTCTCCACTGGGCTAGAGCTGGCGCTGCGGCATGATACAGGGGTGGCCTGTGGAAAGACCTGGCTTTATCACTGTCCTGCCTGCTCCCCCAAAGAGGAGTGTGCACAGGCTCAGGGACGTTCTCACCTCATTCCCTTCCACGGTTTTATAGCTCATCTGCCGGCAGATCGAGGTCTTCATCAGCCCAGTGACCAGCTTGGAGATATCATCCTTGTCCTCCAAAGAGCCCTTCTTGGCTGAGGAGAGAGCAAGCGGTGAGCACGCTGCTGAGCACAGGGGATGGGGACATCTGGGCCACACCCCCTCCCCCCGTAGCTCAGCTCTCCCTCATCTGCTCCCATGCCCACAGTGGCAGGGATGGTGTCAGGCAGCTGCCTCCCACTTTCACTTCCCAGTTCTCATGCAACACAGGGCTTCCAGGAGGAACTGCCCCTGTGGGTTGCAGCACAGCATCCGCTCTCCAGAAGCGCACCCATGCCAGGCCACCAGCACCAGAAGGGCAGGGGCAAGCCCAGCTTGTGCTGGCCCCAGGCAGACATTCACAGAGACCCATCAGGAAGTCTCTCCAGGAGATGGGACCCACTTCTCCAGAGAGGAAGGGTCACCCAGAGGCTGCTGGGCAAGTGCATGGACTCACCCTTGGGTTTCTTCTTCCCAAAGAGTGTCTTGGTGACTTTGGCAAACAGACTCTTTGCTGGGTTGGGGGGACTCAGCTCTGGAGCCATCACACAGCTGCTGGGAGGGAGCTTCTCAGGCGTGTAGCCCTGCAGAGAGGTCAAGGCAGAGGTTTGATTTCTGTAGCCCACGTGCTCCAGGCAGAGCAGCTGCCCTGGGCTGACCGCAGTCACTCACAGCCCTCCTGACAGCCAGCTTGCATTTCCATCAAGCCTTGGCCCCACGACCAGTATCAGTACAGGAAACAGCCCGTGCTATGGGGACAGGGTGGCAGGAGCACACCAGATCCCTCAGTTCCCCTGGCTGGTATTTGGGCAGGACAGTGGCCACTTCCTTTGAAGGACTGAGACCTGGGCTCCAAGGAGAGCACCCTACACAGCCCAAAAAAACTTCATCCCACCTGGAGAAGGGTCAAGGCCAGACCCCCACCTGCTCACCTTGAAGAACTCATGGTCCAAAATCTGCTCGAGGGTGAGGCGGTCCTGGGGGTTGCGTCTGAGGATGCCAGCAATGAGGTGCTTGGCAGGCAGGGAGAGGAAGACCGGGAGGGTGTACTCCACCTGCTTGATACACCTGTAGGTCTCCTTGAGGTCGGAGGTCTCAAAGGGAGGGTTCCCACACAGCAGGGTGTACCTGGGAGAGGACATGCATGCCACCATCACATCCCCACCAGGCTTGTGACTCAGCAGCACTTAAAACAAGTAAGTTATTGGCATTTGGCCGGCCACACCTGGCTGGGAGCACCACTTCCAGCCCGGGCAGCCGCACTCACATCCGGCCACACTTCCTCCTAGCAACTGTTTAAAGCAACAGGCGAGGAGCCCCGGGGAAGGGGAGAGGGCTGGCAGGAGAAGGCTGCCCCACTGCCACCGCTTCCACCCCCTGCACAGCTGCCAGGGTGGAAAGCTTGTGGAAGCTTGTGGGCAGCAGCCGGGCAAGGGGCTGGATGCGCTGAGGCAGCACAGCAATCGCTCCCCAAACAAACAGAGCGGCAGACCGCGCCTCCCGCCAGCCACCGAGATTTTTCCATTTATTTTTTTAATCAGGTTCACAGGGCAGTCAAGCCTCCTTTGAACCAGAGCTGAGCATGGCAGAAGAGTGCCTGCCCTTTGCAGTTCCTCCCCGTGCAGCCCCTGAGCAGCATCCCGGGATGGCTGGCAGCACCCACGAGAAAGCAGGGCTGGGCAGGATCCGG